CTTTATGGCTAATTTTCCTGAGAAAAGTGAGGCAATCAGCAAAGAATTTTGCAGACTTCTCCTCCACTGTGGCCACCCTCTTATGTAAGGAAATGTAGGCCCAAAAGTGACCACGTGGAGAGGAGTGATCTGGCCAAGAGATTCTTTATTGCCAGGTGAGAGAGGGAGAAAGCCAAGGGAGCCAAGAGCAGGGGTGGGGCAGGGGCTTAAATACCCCTCAGTGGGACTCAGCATGATCTGATTGGTTAGGATCTTATGGTTCATGCTGATTGGAGGTTGGGGCAGAAGGAGGGTTCAAGCTAGACTTGAGGCAGGACTATGACCCTGGGAGGCAGGACCGTGACCCTGGAAAACAGAAGCTTAAGGGTGCAGTAAGAACTGAAACCTATCGGCGCCATTATTACCAACATCTTACAGCACTCCCCATACACTCTACCTTCCTGCCTCCTACACAGATGAATGGCTTGTCCTCATGACAACCACCAGCCCTCCCCTCCGTGCTCCCATTTCTGCCTTACCTATTTATGGCTATAACTCCAGGAACTATCACTTTGCCATGTTCTTACTTTTTACTAGATTACTTCCAGAAGGAAACAAATTATATATTATTAACTATAACAGCTTAGAAAAAAAGGAAAAAACTTTTCTGACTTCACTTTATCTATCAGGTATATTTCTAGTAACTAATTCTTCTCAGAAAACTTTTTCAGAAATAAATCCTATTTCTCCCATTTTGTTTTAAACCTATTCTAATCTACTATCCAGAAAGAGCTCTTATCAGTGTCACAACTTTCTAAATACAATGTCCAAAAATGATGGAAGAACAAACAAGCTCCTGGGGCCTTTTGTTTAATAATGGCACTAATCCTTTTAATGAATGTTCTGACCTCATGACCTAATTATTCCCCAAAGGCCCTACTTCCCAATAACTTCACATTGGAGATTAGGATTTCAATATATGAATTTTAGGGGGACATGAACATTCAGTTCATAGCACAACTATTGTAAGAAATTAATATTAAAGGAGGCTGGTTGTAGCATATATGACCCCTCTCTGTACTATCTTCACAGTTTTTCTGTAAATTAAAACAAGTTCTAACATAAAAAGTTTATTTAAAAATAACCAAAAGCCAAAACAAATAAAGGATTATGTAAAACAGGTCAAGAATTATATGGTTAAATCTCTGTGTTAGTTTGAGTCCTCTAAGAAGCAGATACCATGATGTGATTAAATATGAAAGAGATATATTGAGGAAGTACCTGTGAGGTAAGCCAGGATGGAGTCAGGAAGAAGCTGGGAGAGCCATCAAACCACTATGGAGGGCCTTACTCCAAAGGTCAGAGGGAAAGAAACACAACTGGATAGGAAACACCTTGTATTTCAGAGCAGTTCTAAGAGTTTTGTAAGGCCAATGTGTAGTCCTTGAATGAGCTTATATGACTTGAGCTGAGTTGCTTATTTGAGAAACACCATTGCTCCCATGAACCTGCCTTAACATCTCTGCCATGCCCAAATGAGGCAGGCTAGGAGCTAGGGAAAGTTTGGGACTTTTAAAAACTGAACAGCCTGATTTAAAGCACCTCAGCAACTCCTCCCTCACCCATCCCTTCAGAGCTCCTTTTCAATTGCAAGTCCTTTGTTAAATTAGAGAGAATGGAAATTCCTCTTGCATGGATTTAGGGTACCTGAGAATTAGCATAAGTGTATGCATGAGTTCACCCAGATCTCTCTCTCCCCCACCCCCATCCTCCTCAGGCCATTGGAGGTGAGGAGTGACATGGGTTTTCTCCCCGCTTCCAAGTTAAGGATAATATAAAAACTATCTAAAATGAAATTTTTAATTTTTTTTCCTGCATGCAGCACTCCATTCTACCTGGTAGAGACCACACTTACAATCCCCTTACTCCTTTCCTATAATAAAACTCCATTTTTCCCCTACTATAGCCACGTGTTCTGCTTGAATTCTTCCTTGTCAGAACACAAGAACCAAAATCTTCTGACTTCAACATAAAGAATGGGAGAAGCATGGGAAGCACAGCCTTCACTTGCACAGTGATGGATTTCAGAAAACTGAAATCAGTTTCAGTTTTGGGGCTGACAGTTAATTACATTCCTGCAATCAGAAATCTGAGGAGAACAATTTTATGGTCAGCAAAGTCCATTCTATGGCCCTCAAAGGTATTTTTCTCTACACGTTTAAGGAGCAGGTCTTCCTGGACTTCTCCTTCTGAGGGAAAATTCAGAAAAGAAAAGTTAGTGGGAGGTAGGTCTTAGGGACACAAATGGTTCTCACCCTCTCCCACCTTCTCCTCTGCCTGCTCCTTCTCTTCTTTCTCATCCCTTCACCTCCTCCTCTTTCTTATCCTCTTTCTTTTTTATTAGTATATATTAATAATGCAAGAGGGTTCCACAGGTATGTACTGACATCTCTATTATATTCCTCTTCTAATATGTATTTCAAACCCGTCATTAAGCATTGTGATGGGTCTTGACTGTTGATCTGGGGGTATGACCCAAATCTTCATTTCTGAAGTTCGGATGCCTTAGTAATCAGACTTTCCTCAATCTGGGGCTGCTACACCTGTCTATTCACAGTTACAACAGGGTAAGGTCTTATCAGGAGGCAGTCTATATCACCTGTGGGTCACCTATATTCCACAAGAATTCTTCTCTGGCCCTATTGTCTAAAATCAGCCCAAACTTAGCAATTTAAAGCAAACATTTCTTACTTCATAGTTTCTTTTAGGTCATAAATCTGGGCACAGATTAGCTTGGCTCTTCTGGCTTAAGGTCTTTCACAGATCTTTTGTGATATTGGGGTTATGAACTTAGGGCCACATGCTTGTTAGGAAAGGACTTTACTACTTGATCCACAGCACCAGCCCTTTTTGCTTCAGTTATTTTTCGGATAGGGTCGTGAACTCCAGTCTTCTTACTTATGCCTCCTGCATACCTGGAATAATACGAGTGAACCATCACATTCAGGGTCTTTGTGGAGATAAGGATCTCATTAATGTTTTCCCCATACTGGCCTTGAACCATCATCCTCCCAATCTCTGACCCCAGAGTAGCTAGAATTGCAGGTATGAGTCACCATGCCCAGCCTAGCTGTAAGCATCTTAAAGCTTAATTGGGTTTCAAGCTCACTAACTATCTATTGGCAAACCTCAGAAAATCTACTTGCAATTTCATTAATCTTTCTTCTTCACAAAGCTCCTCCATGACATGGCAACTAGCTTTCGCCATAGTGAGTGATCCATGAGAGTGGGAGAACACACAAGATGAAAGCCAGTTCTTTAGACTACAACTTCTCTATTTGTTAAAAGTGAGTCAATAAATCCAATCCATACTCAAGGGAAGGGGATTATACAGGACATGAATACCAAGAAAAATGGAACATTGTAGGCCATATTAGAGGCAGCTTCCCACATATGATGACTCCTCTTCTCACCTGCCAGTTTCAGGACACAAGAAGTCTCAAGTACCCTGACAGTAGTCATAGGTTCTAGTTTTATGAGATACTTTTTATGTCCCATGGAAATTGTATGCCCCTTTAGGACTTCAAAACCTTAAACCCTACAAAACCCAAAGTTGCAGTGATGGGATGCTCTCATTCCCCAGTAAGTTATTGAGAGTAAGTGGGACTACTTCTGCTTCTATTCCTTGGTTCCCAGGCACACACATGTATTGCTTCTATTGGGGACATAGTACTAGCATTGCAGCTGGCTCTGCTTTCCCTCCTGATGACTGGATGGCCATTGCTAAAGCTTGTCTTGGCCCTGGAGATTATTTACTATGGAAAACTGGCTATTCTGAAATATGTAAAGAACAAGCCACCTGCAATACTGCTCATGGCATACCAATTACAGCAGATCTGCTCCTAGGTCAGGGGACCATACAAGCTTGCAAAATCAATTAAATTATCCCTCATTAACATATGACCAAACGGGTATTGCCACCACCAGAGCATGGGAAGAGCTACCCACTAAAGGAGATAAGACCCAAGAAATTACTAAAATTTTTCAGGGTCCTAGAGAGCCTTTTCCAGACTTTGTGGATCACCTATTACACCATATGGGTAGAACTGTTGGAGACCCTGAACTGGGTACTCTCCTTGTAAAACAGTTAGCCTTTGAAAATGCTAACAAACATTGTAAGGAAGCTCTCAGACCCTATAGAAAAAAGGCTTCTTTACAAGATATGACTTGGCTTTGTTCAGATACAGGGGAAGGCTATGTTCAGGGAATGGCATTAATGGTGGCCCTGAAGGAAACCTTACACCCTTCAAAAGGAGGTGTCTGTTATAATTGTAAAAAACCAGGTCATTTTGCCAAAGAATGTCAGAAAGCCACAAAGACAAATTCACCACCTGTTGGATCTTATGGTCAAGGACAAAAGCCCCCAGGAATATGTCCTCATTGCAAACTTGGCCATAACTGGGCTTATGAGTGTCACTCACAATCTGATATAGAAGGGCAACCATTGCAAAGGCAGCAGGGAAACTCCTCATGGGGCCAGCCCTGGCTCCATCAAACAGTATGGGTGCTCACTACCCTCTAGGAAGGACCAATTGGGTCACCATTACAGACCTCCTTCGTGCCACCCCTGGAAGTGCATACTAGATCTCAGTCCCTCCACCCAATGCACATTAACTCCTGAGATGGGAACTCAGACAATCCCTGCAGTAGTCTATGGGCCATTACCAGAAGGGACAATAGGATTAATTTTAGGAAAAAATAGTTTGACATTAAAGGGTCTGCAAATACATCCTGGAGTTATTGATCAAGACTATACTGGAAAACTTAAAATTCTTGCTCAAGCTCCTCAGACTTTTGTGGCTATTGCTCCCACAGAGCAATAAGATAAGATTGCACAGTTGATAATCTTTCCCAATGTAAGGGTAGGAAAAGTGCTCACAGACACCCCACAGAGAGAAAAGGGGCTTGGTCATTCCAATCATGCTTACTGGGTACAGTGAGTCACTTCTGACCACCCTGAGATGGCTCTATTTTTAAATGGCAAGTGGTTTATGGGATTGCTAGATACTGGAGCAGATGTTTCTGTAATTGCAGAGCGACACTGGCCATCCACATGGCCTTGTGTTCAGGCTACAGCAGATTTAAAAGGTGTCGGCTCTGCCACAGCTCCTTTGCACAATGCTTGTGCCATCCCTTGGCATGATGAAAGGACACTCTGGCACGTTTTACCATGTGTGCTAAAAGAGTTGCCAGTAAGTTTATGGGGAAGAGATGTTTTACAGGAAGCAGGAGCTATTTTATACAGCTCCAGTGCTAAAGTTTCACATATGACGTTACAACAGGGGTTTGATCCTCGTAAAGGCCTAGAAAAGAGTCAACAGGGAATAAAGGAACCCATCTCTTCTATGCCCCATCCTCCTCATATGGGATTAGGATATGAGACATCTCCTACATATTTTTAGAAGGGGCCCTGATCAATAACTCCCCCCCACTTCATGCAGCTGCTAAAATCACTTGGCTCACATATGAACCAATATGGGTGGATCAGTGGCCCCTAACAGGGGAGAAATTAGCAGCAGCACAGGCCTTAATTCTGGAGCAATTACAAGCAAGACATATAGAAATATCTCATAGTCCATGTAATATGCCTATTTTTGTTATTAAGAAAAAATTGGGCAGATGGTATTTGCTACAGGATTTAAGGGCTATCAATAAAGTTATGCAACCAATGGGATCTCTACAGTCTGGGCTTCCCTCACCCACCACCATTCCCCTACAAAATTATCTTTATATTATTGATTTAAAAGATTGCTTTTTTACTATTCAATTGCATGAGGAAGATAGAGAAAAATTTGCCTTTTCTATTCCCATGCCTAGTCATCAGGTTCCTTGTAAATGTTATGATTGGAAGGTTTTGCCTCAGAACATGACAAACAGCCCTACCATATGTCAAGAGTAAGTTGCTTCAGCTTTGGAGCCTTTAAGACAAAAATTTAATCAGACTTATATTGTTCATTACATGGATGACATTTTACTTAGCCACCTTGATTTAGATATTCTTCAAAATCTGTTGTCTCATGTGCTTGAACAATTGCCAGAATGGGGCCTTATTGTAGCTTCAGATAAGGTACAAAAGCAATCTCCTTTTTCATATATGGGACAGCTTATTGAGGGACTGACTATCTGCCCCCAAAACATAGAAATCCATAAAGATAATTTTAAAACTTTAAATGATTTTCAAAAATTATTAGGTGATATAAATTGACTATGTCCTGCCTTAAAACTTACCACTTGTGAACTGTCTCCTCTCTTTAAAATTTTACAGGGAGACACTCAACCATCATCTCCTAGATATCTCATACCAGAAGGTCATATGGCCCTGGCTAAGGTTGAACAAGCTATTCATAACTCTCAGAGAACTCGTGTTGATTTTTCTCAACCAAATCAACTTCTTATTTTACCTACTATAAGTCTACCCACAAGAGTTCTTTGGCAGACTCAGGGAGTACTAGAGTGGTTACATTTACCTCACTCCCCTGCTAGAGTCATCACTCCTTACCATAATATGGTAGCAAAATTAACAGCCATGGGACGTTTTTGCATTGTACAACTGCTAGGACTAGAACCATCCCTTATTTATTTTATTGTCCCATTTACCAAGGAACAACAGGCTTGGCTATGGTGTACTGATACCATGTGGCAAAATGCATTGGCAAACTTTACATGATAGCTTGGAGAACATTTGCCGTCCTCTAAACTTCTTAATTTTGCTTCTAAACATGCTTTTATATTTCCTCACAATATCTGAGAGGATCCCATGCCTCAGGCTCTTGTGATTTTTACCGATGCTTCAGGTTCCGCTGCTTACTTTTCCTCTCAAGGACAAAAGGTTGTACAAAAAGGTTTTTCCACTGCTCAGCCTGCTGAGCTTCAGGCAGTCATTCATATTGGCTTGTCAGAATTTTGCTCATGTTCCTTTAATTTGTATATAGATAGTGCATATGTTTATATTATACTTAAAAGTATTGAAACTACTTACATAGGACCTACTAATGATGAACAGCTTTTTCATCTCTCCCATAAGTTAAGGGCTTTCTTACAACAACGCCAACATCCCTATTTTGTGGGCCATCTCCCGTCCCACTCTGGCCTTCCTGGACCATTGGCAGAGGGCAATTGCCAGGAAGATTCCTTAATTTCTCCATTAATTTTACAGGTGGATAACTCGTCACCAGTAAACAGGCCATACAAAGTCATTCTCAGTTCCACCAAAACTCCAGAGCTCCTTGTAAATATTTTCTTATCACCCGAAGACAAGCTTGTCAAATTGTTAAGTCATGTTCAAAATGTGCTCCTCATTTGCCTGTGCCCACTGAGGGAGTTAACCCTCGTGGTCTTCATCCTTTAACATTGTGGCACATGGATGTTACTCACATTCCATCTTTTGGACAACAGCGTTATGTATACTTACTCTGGTTTTGTTTTTGCCTCTCCAAGATCAGGAGAAGCAACACACCATGTCATAGAGTGCTGTTTAGCCAACTTTGCTGTGATGGGCAAGCCGCTGCATATTAAAACTGATAATGGCCCAGCTATACATCTACTGCCTTTAAGACTTTTTCTTTCTCTTACAAAATTCTCCATACCACAGGCATACTGTACAATTCCCAAGGCCAAGCTATAGTGGAACAAGCTCAACAAACTTTAAAAGTTCAATTACAAAGACAAGAAGGGGGAGATAGCTCTCTAGCCACTAAAATTAACAAAGCTCTTTTTACTTTAAATTTTTAAAATTGCTCTGAATCTGGCTTTACTCCAGCTGAAAAACATTGGGAACATCATAATAAACAACATTTTACTGCAGGTATTGTGGAAAGATGTAATGACTGGAGCCTGACAAGGCCCTAGCCTGGTCTTGTTATGGGGGTAAGGCCATGCTTGTGTTTTTCCTGAAGGTACAGAAAGCCCAATTTGGGTACCCTCATGGTTTGTGAAGACCCATGGAACCCATCAGCCATCAGATGCAGAAGCTCCACCTGATGGAGGAGGAGAGGAGCCCAAGCCCACCAGAAACCAAACTGAAGGAGATTCTGTCACTGAAATCATTAAGGAACCACCCTTACCGGTCCTACCAGAGGCAACATCATCACCTTGACAAACACAGTAAAACAACCTGGGGATCTACTCCCCCAACTTGGGGTCAAATAAAATGCTTGGCGGATATGGTCAAGAATGCCATTAAGGGGTGGGGACAGGAAGAAACTCCTGCTATTCTTCTGCTAGCTATGATTAGCATCGTTAGTCAGCAGGTGAATGCTGCAGAGGCCCAGAACTTAGTACATTGGGCTTTTGTGCCTCATCCACCTCTGCTTCATGAAGTTACCTGGAAAAGTCCTTCTATATCAGTTTTTACTAATGACTCTGAGCTGGTAGGGGGTCATTTCAGTGGACACCTGGTTCCTACTTTCACTAATTACAATTTTATAGGACAAGCTGTTGCTTTACCTATATGTTTGGGGAATTTGCCTTTTTGTCTCCCTCTCATGCCTATTTGGAAAAGTGCTCTGTTATGGAATGGTACTCAGTTTCTTGATAAAAAACTAGAATTTTTTGGCTTTAATGCCACTGAGCCATATAATGCTACACATTGGCCTCACATTCCCCGCTGTCAAGACAAACGCAATCCCTGGCACTCTGATAAAGGAGCCTAATGGGAACAATGTATATTTGCTTCTCCAATGGCTATTAATGTTACAAGCTACAAGCTTGTGTATTGGTCTTATACTGGCACTTCTGAAACTAATATTATGGGGTATTGGACCTCCCCTCTGATGGGACCAGACAGAGGAACCATTCAATCAGATATATGGAAGCTTGGAGCTGATACCACTAATATTAATCTAACTAGCCATTCAGGCAGCCCTGTTATTAAAGGCTTGCAAGCTTTTGTTCAACATCCTTTTGCTTTATTGGCTGAATCAATTAACATTTCTAGAAATGGAACTATTTTTTATATCTCTCGTTCTAATTGCAATTTAACCTCGTGTGGACAATTACATAAATGGCAGCCTACTTATAATAAAACAAAGCCCCTATATCTTGGTACCTACAAATTTCACTGGACCATGATATCATGATAGAGGACTACAGGTTGTCAAAGAAATAAAATCATTATTAGTAAGAGAAAAAAAAATTTGTAGGGCTCTTGATAGCAGGCATTGTGGCAGCCATCACTGCTATTGTCACCATGGCTACTGCTGCAGTAGCCCTCTCCCAAAGCATTCAAAATGCTCATTACATCAATACCTTAACACAAAATGTCAGTTATGCCTCTCAACAATAAGTTGCTATTGATGAAAAAGTTGATATCCTCTTAAATTCTCTAGAAGCTGTTTTGCTGGCTATGGGAGATGAAGTTCAAATGCTGAAATTCCATCAAGATTTACTGTGCCATGCAGGCTTCCAACATATTTGTGTTACTGCAGCACCCTAAAATCCCACAGACTTCCCATGGAAACTCATTAAAAGCACATGTCATGGGAGCCTGGGAAAATAATGATTCACTTAACCTACAAGTTGTAAGACAGCAAATTTTAGCCAAGCAGCAAGAACACAATCAGGTGGCTGCTCCTGCAGATATAGCAAAAACTACATTAGATGAATTGCAAGGATTTAACCCTTTTAATACTCTGAAATATTCCTTTTGGTATTTCATTGGCATTGTATTATTAATGATTTGTTGTTTTTGCTTACTTTCAGTCAGAACTCGAAAGATCAAAAGTCAACTCCTTGGATTAAACATAGAAATGCATCAGGAGCTTTTAAGAAATAAAGTAGAGGGAGATGTTGGGGACCAGGCATGAACCCAGGGCTGGGATATAGTGGAGTTTGCACAGACTCTCCATGTAGAAGTTTGCACAGCCTCTTCTTCCATAATTTTCTCAGTACCTGGTGTCTTGACCTTTATTCTCACATCTCCTTGAAGAATACAACCTGCTGTGTCTGCATACCAGCCCTCTGATGCAAAACTAGATAAAGTACCAGAACAGTTAAGAAACTCCCTGATGCCAAATTAATCAATAATAATAAGGTGTCCTGCATGCCTTGATGATTCCAGAACTGATGTGTTGTAATTAAACTTCATTAGCCTTAGGAAAATTAGCCCACCAAACCTCATTCCTTTTACCTTGCATCAAAAATTGTTAAAGCTTGATTTTTACTTGAGTTTTTTCCTTGTACTGACCTAATAAAATAAACACTCTGGCTTAGGTAGGCATTCACGTTTCCCATCAGGAACATGCAGTCCTGATCCCATCTTTCTGTTTTCTGTTTTCTGTCTGTATGTCTGTGTGTGTCTTATTTCTCATTTCCCACTGCTCATAGTCTGGTTCACGCAGCATATGCACACAGGCTGGGGCAAAGAACATAAAAGAGTCAGGCTAAGAGGAGGACACTAATGGAA